ATCACAGAGAACAAGCAATTAATATCAACTATATCAGATTTAAACTTCACCTATGTTATTCTTTTAGAGGAATTTTTTTCCCCCTTGGGAGGTGTGTACCATACTGATGACTTTTAAAATTATTCCATTAGAACAGAGCACTTCTGTAGAGGAGGGGAAAAGTATTTGGGACTCACCAGTTAAATGCAACAAAATACACCAAAAGTACATCCTCTTTTTCATATTGGAACTAAGGAAAGATCAGCTAAAGCACCATGAAATGTCAGACATGAAACATGGACTTTGGAATCAAACAGACCCGAATTTGTACCTAGCTCCAGCACTTAGAAACTACTTAAGGTTCTACAGGTAATTTAAATTCTTGGAGTCTGACTGCTATCAGCCATGATAGAGATATTAGTATTTTTCTCATAAGTAAGTTATGAAGCTTGAAGAGATGTCAATAAAACATTTTATATGATGCTTAGACCATAGTAAGCAATTTTTAAATAGCAATGATTGTTTTGTTACATTCTCCTTAGCATAGCTTCAGAAGATAAATGCTCTATCTTTGTAGTAGATCTAAAAAAAACAAATTTAGATCAGAGGTCAACTTGAGAAATCTAACCAAGGTAGGAAACCATGATTTAGTACTTCAAACTGACCTCAACATTTGACCATTCTGAAGAAATCATGACATGCTTTCCCTTACATTCCACAAATTTTGGCTAAGAAAAAAAGTATAAAGATAGTTGAGAAAAGGATGGATGTACATTTACTAGAATATGCCTGATAAATATTTCATATGTTCCATTATTTTACACGTAATTATTTTAATATAACCTAGTATAGTGCTTGTCATAAGGTAGACACTCATTAATAGATATTTGTCAAATTAAGGAGTATCCATCTTTCTACAGATTCGTACAAGTTCTTCATATATTAAATATATAAACCACTTGTCGGTTTTACATATTGTGAATATTTCTCCAATCTGTCATTTATCATATTGTATTTTTTAATACTTTTATTTGCTTAAACTTATCATGTTTCCTCTCTATTTTAAAAAATGATTTTGTGCTTAAAAAGACTTTCTTCATTTCCCTGCACTTAAATGCCCACCCATCTGCAGGGAAAAACCTTTCAAAGTGATGTCTTTTCATTTATCTCAGAGACTACTCATGTCTTTAGCCCTCTCTCACCTTTTAAAAATAAAAGTTACTGATGAGGTTGGAGTTAACTCCTGTGAATTACTTTTTTCTAGAAAAGCAAAACTCATAGACATTTCCTGTTTTCCTTTATTGCTTCAGAGTTTTCCTATATTATATTACTTTGATTAATTCAGTGGGTAACTGAAGCAGAAGAAGTGAAGTTGTGGGGAGGAAGTAAGGGCAAAAGAGAAATAGGAGTTCAATGATGAAGTCAATCATTTTCTTATTGGGAAGCTTTCGTTGAGGGCCAAACTAAGCCCCAGTTCTTCTATGTCCAACAGCAATGAGTTTAGTGAGTATTATTTTGCCAGGTAACTTTCCAGTACTTTAAATGCTTTACCACATTAGTTGTGAATGAACAGTTTGTATGTGTGTTACATCAGGACATACAATCACTGTCCCCTTTATTCATAACCAAGGAACTTAATATTAAGGGTTATATAACTTGTCCCCATTGACGTAGTCCTTAGCAGAACTGAGATTCTAAGAGGTAATTCTAGTACCTATAGCCTTAACCCAATGTATCTTGTGTAAGTATCTCAAACTTAACATATGAAAAATAAAACATTTTCTTTCTACCTCAAAAACTGCTTTTTCTTTGTTATTCTTCCCTAGCTCAGGATCATGTCATTCTCTTTTCAGCTATTGCACTTGGAAAAAATCCAAACATCAAATACCAGAGCCTACAAAGCCTGATAAGATCAGGTGTCTTAGACCTCATCTTGAACATTACTTTTCCTTTCTTCTTTTTTTTTTTTTCCTAACCTTCTACTTAACACTAGCCCTCAAACACACTAAGTTTACTTCCATTTTAGGAAATTACGTATTCCACTCTTAATTGCTCCCTGATTTCCAGTGACCATCCTTGAAATTGTCACTTGGATTTCTTCTTTTTGGTATTTATCATTTATCTCAAAGTGTACCTTCTCAGTGAAGCTTTCCCTGACTACTCAGTTGTAAGTAGCCACTCTATCATTTGTTAGTTTTCCTTCACAGTCGTTAGTACTTTATGATACTGTATGATATTCTCTTATTTGATTGTTTATTGTTTATTTATTTATTTGAAAGAGAGGGAGCATAAGCATGTGAGTAGGAGGAGAGGGGCAAAAGGAGAGGGAGAGAAGAAAAAGAATCTCAAGCAGACTCCCTGCTGAACATGGAACCTGATGCAGGGCCCAATCCTAGGACCCTGAGATCATGACCTGAGCCAAAATGAGCCAGACGCTCAACCAACTGAGCCACTCAGACACCCTGTCTTATTTGTTTATTTTATCTCTCTCTTCTTACATGTATATGGTAAAAATATAAGCTCCATGAAAGCAGAAATTTAACTGTCTTACTCAGTGTCGTGCCCCCTCTGCTCAGAACAGTGTTTCACATACCATATGTGCTTAATAACTATTTGTTAAGTACATGAAAGGTTTATTGAAAAAGGGAATATTGTCATCAAAACTATGCATAAGAATATTTATTGGGTAACAGTATGGAGGCTGGGCTGCAGGGAGAAAAGGCTTGATCATGGAGACTAGTTAGAAGACTGTAAAATGGAGGGTGATGTTAGAAGTAAGAAGAAATGTAGGAAGTACTAGTGAGTTAAAACCAGCAGAACCCTGAAACTGATTGAGTTGAAGGGTTTCAAAATCATTCGGAATAAGAAAATGCCATTAATATTAATAGGAAATACTAGGAGATGAGAGATAACACTGGGAAAATTATGAATGGTATTTAAAAGAGCAATTCTGAATTTTTAATTTGAGATGCCATTGATAGGCAGGATGTATGGATGGACTTGGAGGGATTTGGACTAAAGATAAAGTTATCTGATTGTATTAGAATTGCCAAAGGTGGGATCCCTGGGTGGCGCAGTGGTTTGGCGCCTGCCTTTGGCCCAGGGCGCGATCCTGGAGACCCGGGATCGAATCCCACGTCGGGCTCCCGGTGCATGGAGCCTGCTTCTCCCTCTGCCTGTGTCTCTGCCTCTCTCTCTCTCTCACTGTGTGCCTATCATAAATAAATAAAATTAAAAAAATTAAAAAAAAGAATTGCCAAAGGTGGCATTTGGAATGAAAAAGTGGCTTGGGGCTAAACTCACTTTTTGGAGGCAGATGGAAACAAAGAGGAGGCCAAGAAAAAAAAATCAGAAATATGTGGTTTTAAGACAGCAAAACAGATTAGGATTTCAAGAAGAAAGAGACCATCTGCCTATGAAGAAGAGGAGGATTGACATTGGATTTGGTAAATAAAGTTACTTTCTGAAACTGAGGAGGTGACTTCAGCACAATGGTGATTCCTTCTGTCTCAGGTAGAAGAAACTAGCATGCAATTTCTCTTGATATAAGGCAAGGACAAAGGGAGAAGAGATGATATAAGAAAGAGCAAATTTCAATGTGTAAGGAGCATAGTGAACTCAGTTGGGATTTATATAAGATTTGGGTATACACAGCTAGAAATCACTAAAGAAATGGGATCAGAGCTATCAGCAGTGAGTGTCAATAACTTTTTCCAGAAGCCTGGAAAATGAAGGCAAGGATAGAGATAAGATGTAAGTCTATAGTCTAAACAGAAAGAGCCAGTGGACTAGTAAAGGAACACAAAATCTTTAATTATTTGGTAGAATAGGTATGCAGAGTAGAAAATTTGGAAAGTATAACATTAATTTTGCTATTTAGAATTCTTTACCAGTTTTTTTTTTCATTTTTTATGACTTTTCCTTTTTTATAATCTCCAGTTACGTGTAACAGGATTAAGAAATCAAACTTTTTTTAAACGAGAGGATCTTCTAAACCAACAGTATGTGAAATAATATGTTTATGCATAAATGCAATGGCCTATCCCGTGAAGACTTTCGTGCCACAGAGTGTTTTTGAGATGGTGGGTCAAGTATTATAGAAGTTGTGGTTTGAGCTCTTACTCTGAGAGAGAAGGTTAAACATGAAGACCTTTCTTGCATTCCCTTCCAATGGTGGGGGTTTTATGAATATGACCTTCCATATCACGCTTTCAAATGTTTTGACTCATAAAGTATATAATAGTAATTTTTCATAGGATAATTTAGAAAAATACTGGTTTTTAATTTTTTATGAACCATTTTTGAAGTCTTACCATGTATTAGGTTTAAGTATGTTAATGCATATGAAAGGTTGATTACATAATAAAAATTCAATGAATGTAAGGTACTATTAATATTGTGAAAAGTTCCCTATCTCTCCAAAGACAGAAATGCAGTGCAAATAATAGTATGAAAGTAAGGATCACTTTAGCCATTGCATAAATTATTCTAACTCACAGGCCTAAATACTACTTCAAACATTTTCACTGTTAAAATGAGTCAAGTTAAGAAAGACACTACTGATTAATTATGTATAAGCCCATGACACTATATGTCATTAATTATGCAGAGGAGCCATGACACACATGTAGAGAAGAAGCAATTATGGAATTACCAGGGAATAGTCCACTGCAGTCACTCCAGTCATGCAGTTGCCAGGGAAAGCACATTTATCGGAGTGACCTACACACAAGATTGAGTTGAGTTTGCAAGAGCCTCACCATAGGTAATGTCCTTTCTATCTTTCATGGTCAAGTGGTAGAGGATTGATTGAAACTGAATAGCCCTGTCATTTGCTCCTACATTTCAACCATTTGAGAGTTGCTCTCTGCCGTCTCATGTGCTCTTATGCCAGAAATCACACGTAGGTTTTCTTTGAGCGCCTAAACTGCCTGACAGTCAGGGAATCAATATATCCTGTTGCACAGTGTCCAAACCTGCTATTAGTAGAAAAGTAACACTAAAGATGTGTTTCCTTACAGGACAGTGCGGAATTGATCACTTCTCTGCTTCACAGTGGAGCTGACATACAGCAGGTTGGGTATGGTGGCCTCACTGCCCTGCATATTGCTACAATCGCTGGTCACCTAGAGGTAAGTCTCACCTCATTCACCTGTGAAAGCAAACCTGGCTCTTTTGATTCTTCTTAACTTTTATCAAAGCCTGGCTTTTCAGATTCTAGGAATTGGTTTATTTTTTTAGCTACTGAACACATATATTTATTTTGAGGGTCAAGTTAAGCTATATAAATGTTCTTTTGATAGTGGGTTCAATCTGTTTTGTAACAATGTAATCAAACATCAATTAATATAAAGATGACTGGATACACACAGGCTTTACAGCAGTGATTAACAGCATAGATTTTGGAGTCAGGCTGATGGAGTGATGGAGTCATTTTTCATCTCTTGTTGTGTTTACCTTAAGCAAATTTCTGTACATCATGACCTCTGTTTTCTTAATTTATGAAAGAGAAACAGTAACAGGCCTATTATATTGATTAAACTAGATAATCCATATAAATCACTTTACAGATTGCTTCAAATAGATTAAGGACTCCATGAAAGATCATTCATTCATTCCCTTATGTATTATTTGATTTATTAAGTATCTATTGTGCAGTAGATATTGTTCTAGTTCTGAGGTGAGACTAGCAAAAAAGACAGGCAAAACTCCACTTTCTTCTTCTAATTTAGTTGTAGAGAATGAGAGTCAATAAAAAAAGTATAATGTCAGTAGTGAGTATTAGAAAAATAATAAAACAAGGTAGAATGAAGACAGAATGCCAAAGTGTGCACCATTTAAAATATACTATATAGCGAAACTGTATAGAAAATATATGTGATAGCACATGCAAAGACCCTGTGGCAGGAAAGAATTAGTTGTGTTTGAGGGAAATGCGTAAGCCAAAGTCATTAGTGTGGTATGAGCTAGAGATAGAGTGATGGAGACGAGATCAGGGGGATGTTGACAAAACAGATCACAAAATGTATTTAAAGACCATAGGAAGGACTCTGGATCTTGTCCTAGATGTAACTACTGAAATATTAATTTCATACATATAAAGCACTTTCATTTGTATTATTTGTTTAACTTAAAATTCCTCATGAAATAGTTTTTGGCATCACTGTCAACTGATAGATATAAAATCTTGTATCATCTGGCTTTACTTACTGCAAAGCCATTGAGAAAAAGAGCCACATCTGGAATCCTGGTCCGTTTAGTCAAAATTCCCATGATTTTCACACTGTATTATTTGTGGTAATCACAATATGTTTATTATAAAATTGTTATCTGTTTCTCCCTTTTAGTCATGTTACACGTTAAATTGTACTTTCTTTGCTAACAACTGTGAGCAAGTAGAGCTGCATATAAAATCATACATAAAACCTATAAAATAGATGCGATCCACCTCCCTTAACAGAATCACTTTAAAGGGCTCTTACATTCAATAAATATGGATACATCTCATTGAGAGAAAAATAATGTCCTGCGTGCTGACATTTCCACCCCTCACTATATTTTTTCCTCCCCCCCAAAAAATAAAACATTTTTGGTGAGATTCACTGTAAATATAAGCGAATCTGTTACTTATAAGAAGGGAAATTTCATTAGCATTAGCATCACCTATATATCAGTGTTTTCCAAAAAAGAAACCAACTGAGGCCAGTGATAAAGTATATGGAAGGTAAACATTAGGAAGTCTGGGTAGAGGAACTGATAAAGTAGACATGAAGTTCCAGTGAGATATATTCAACCTAGTAATGCCTGGAAAATGGGAGAATATGTTTTGCAAGACAAAATCCTTCTTGTCTAGTGCTGAGCTGATTACGTTTGTGAGGGATAGAATTACAACAGTTTCAAAAGCAAGATACTTAAGAGAATGGTCTCTTTATCTCCTATTCAAATAGCTATTTTCTTGCTTCATAAATTGTAGTGTAGAAGGAAATGTAGTTCTACCAACCTAGTGCAAACTTTACCAAAATCTTTCCAGGTAGGTCTCTACTCTTGTCTTGCATTGCTTCATGGATTCTCCAACTTCCTCTATTAGCTCTTGTGTAACATTTAATGACTTTTATTGTCAATCATTGCTGGTACATAAAGCAGGTGTATATACATTAACCTTTATTCTCTTCTTATCTAATGGACTAATTAAGTTACAAATCAGATAATAAAAGAAAATGGTATTCAAAAAGCCTACAAGCATCATACTCAAAATGCAAAATTCTTTTTCTTTGAATTATTTTCCAAAGCTATTAATGCAATAAATACTCACTTTTAATATATTTTCTTCCCCTCACATTCATTTATCCATTTAATAAATATTTTAAACCTCTACTTTGTCCATAGCCTAGTGCTAGAATGTGGGAATGATATAAGAGATAAGACATAATTTTTCCTTCTAAAGGCTTTATAGCATAGCTAGACACACAAAATTAATACACAGGAAAGATTATATAAACAATTCAAAACTAAAATAGTAAGGAAGGAAGTAAGGGGAAAGAGTCAAGGACCAAAGTGAGTTTGGTAATTAGGAACAATTAGAAATGTGATAATTACATGGCGTGGAATGACAATACAAAATGTGAAGTGTTAGGAGTTCACTGGGGAGAAAGATCAACTTGGACTGAAAGAGTTGGGGAAGGATTTATGAGAGGGGTTTTGAAGTTAGGCTAAACTTTAAAGAACAGTGAGAATTGGGCAGAGAAAAGAGGAATCATGTCCAGAAGTGGTAAGAAGAATGAGCTGAACACATCCATATTTAAGGGAGAGTGAATTTAATGCTAGATGAATACACTGTAAAGAGTCCCTATAAATCAATTTGGATGTTAGGAATGGATCAGACTAAGGAAACTTAGAATAAAAGTCCAAGGAGTTTAATTCAATTCAATAAGCAATTATTGTAGTGTATGATGTATAACACATATGCCTAAATGGTGCAATAGATAAAGAGACGAATAGAAGACGGAAATTCCTGCTCTTTAAAGACACAGCCAATAGGATTTTTTTCTCAACAGGAAATGACAAGCCATTGAGACTTTTTGAGCAAGGGAATGATTGGAGATTTTATAAATAATGTATTGAAGAAGACTTCTTTGAACAAAGTTTTCAGTATAGATTCCAGAGTGATGCTATGATGATTAAAGAAAGAGACAGGGAAAAAAAAAGAAGAAAGAAAGAAAGAAAGAAAGAAAGAAAGAAAGAAAGAAAGAAAGAAAGAAAGAAAGAAAGAAAGAAAGAAAGAAAGAAAGAAAGAAGAAAGAAAAAGAAACAGAGATAAAAGATTGGGTAAAGAAATCAATTGGGAAGAGAAATCAATTAGCTTCAATATGCTGATCTACTGATGACATCCAAGTTTTCAAGCAGAGATATTCATTAATCATTTAGAAATATACAACTGGCATTCAGTGGAGAAGTTGGGGTTTAGTATAAATTTTTGAAAATTATACATGAAGAGGTGATATTTGAAGCCGGAATAGCTGGAAGTTGTAAAGTGGGTCTAATAGATAGCCAGGGACTGAGCCTCTATTCACAAGGACTTGAGGAATTACTGAATAGCCTCTGAGGAACAAAGAAGGATTGGTCACAGTGTTGTAAGGAAAACAAGGAGATTGTGCTATCACAACAATGAGGAGTATGGAGACTTTCAGTAGATAAAGGATCCTGGCAATCAAATGGTATAGAAAGTACAATGAGTAGAATGGGATAAAATACATAAGGTTTTTACTTATCATACCAAACATTTAGGTGCTTATTTTCACTCCTGTTTTTCACTGTTGGTTAGCAGAGATGGCCGCAGTGAATCAGTGGGAGTTCCCTTTCATTAGTAGTCACTTTCTTTTATTGCCCACCTGTCCCTAGGCAACAATAACTGATGCTAAGTCTGACAGCCGTCTTTGTCTACACGTATCAAATTCAGAACCTCCATTAGTGTCTCAAGTGTGTTTGCTCTCCCATAATTGTGAATCCTATTAAATAATTTTACAATAAAATTTACATTGACTAGGCAGCTGTCTCCTTCAATAATAAAAGAGAACATGTGCTGTGGATTCCTAGACATGCTGATTGCAATTCAAGACTCAGATTTCAGCTTACTGTGCTTTGAAAAGGAGGCAAATAGTGCTTGTCCTGGGTCTCACTACCTCTCCCTGATTTATCCATCTATCAATACATGTGCATATGCTGCTATATACAAGGCCCAAGATCCTGTCAGCAAGCTACAAAAATGCATTAAACCTTCTTCTCCCCTTTGAATCCAGGAGGCTCATGAGTCATATGCTCTGTCAACCATGGAAAGTGAAAAATAGTTGCTAACGTTTGGTGGTGCTTTACTGCTCATGTGCATTTGTCATTTGGCTCCCTCGTTAGTTAGCTACCATTAGACTCAGTGTATCAATGAGGAAACTAAGGATTAGAAAAGTTAAATGTCTTCCATAGGGTCATTCGGGCAGTAAGTAAATGAGATGAGTAGGACTCAAATCTGGTTATCTACTTCAGATCTGTAGTCTTGTAAATAAAAGAGTACTCATTCCCTTTTGACTCTTGTATGTGTTGCTAAAACAGGCTTAGACCCATAAGACACAAAAAATGTATGCAGAAAACAAAACATAAACTGAATATCTTACTATCTAAAGCGAAGCACCATTGCTACATATACAAATTAAGCAACATTAATTGATTCAAGAATAACTTTTTATATGGGTATATGGGCACTGAACTCGTGGACGTATAATGTGTATGTGTGAGCATACAACACACACATCCCCGAAGTGTAAAACACTTTATACTTAGATAATTATTTTAAAAGCTGTTACACTTTGGTGTTTCATGCTGTAGTTTCTAAAGTTATCAGGAAACAAATCATTTATCTGTAGCTGTAGACAACTGTTTGAATAGCAAGCAGAAAAGCATGTCTGAGATGACACAATATGTAATATATAGGGGCTGTGGAGTGTTTTATTTCTCACAGAAAGGCACAGTTTCATATACACTTTGTGCAGGTGAGAGTATTATTTTTATAGTTGAATTTATTCTATCCTACCTTATCCTTTTTTTTTTTTTCAGATTGTAAACACTTATCCAAACACTGCTTCAG